GGGGAGTCTACAACTGAGGAAATTGTTAGAGAGCCCTCTGAGGAATATATGCTCAATTTTTCAGGAAACCCAAGACTACTTTAAAAAAGGGTTACTAGTGTTTAAAATGAGCTCCAGAACAGAGACATTTAAACAAAAAAGCGGGTACAGTGATGTCCTGTTTATTCTCTCATTAGGCATTAAATGTGTCCAGGAACAGCACCTTCTTCAAAGGTCAGGACCAGGACTCAAAGTGAAGACCATTGGTTTAGTATTTGGAGGGAGTGGGAAACATTTTAAATTTCTGTATAGTTTGAATTTTTTTATAGAATAAATGCTTCTAACATTTGAAAAATCCAATTAAAAAATGGGCTAAAGAGCTAAACAGAGAATTCTCAAAAGAAGACTCTCAAATGGCTGAAAGACATTTAAGGAAATGCTCATATCCCAGGCACTTGGGAGGTAGAGGCAGGATCAGAAATTCAAGGTCTTAGTCATCAGAGAAATGCAAATCAAAATGACTCTGAGATGCCACCTTACACCTGTCAGAATGGCTATAATCAAAAACACTAATGACAGTCTATGTTGGAGAGGATGTGGAGCAAAGGGAACACTCCTCCACTGTTGGTGGGAATGCAAACTTCTACAACCACTGTGGAAATCAGTATGGCAGTTGCTGTGGGATGGTCTGTATGTCAAATTACTCTGATTGGTCAATAAATAAAACACTGATTGGCCAGTGGCTAGGAAGGAAGTATAGGCAGGACTAACAGAGAGGACAAAAGAAAGAACAGGAAGGCAGAAGGAGTCACTGCCAGCCGCCGCCATGACAAACAGCATGTGAAGATGCTGGTAAGCCATGAGCCACGTGGCAAGGTATAGATTTATGGAAATGGATTAATTTAAGCTATAAGAACAGTTAGCAAGAAGCCTGCCACGGCCATACAGTTTGTAAGCAATATAAGTCTCTGTGTTTACTTGGTTGGGTCTGAGCGGCTGTGGGACTGGTGGGTGACAGAGATTTGTCCTGACTGTGGGCAAGGCAGAAAAACTCTAGTTACAGGCAGTTTCTCAGAAAATTGGGAATCAATCTACCTCAAGACCCAGCCATACCATTCTTGGGCATATACCCAAGGAATATTCAATCATACCACAGAGATACATGCTCAACTATGTTCATAGCGTCATTATTCGTAATAGCCAGAACTTGTAAATAACCTAGATGCCCATCAACTGAAGAATGGATTAAGAAAATGTGGTACATATACACAATGGGGTACTACTCAGCAGAGAAAAACAATGACAGCATGAAATTTGCAGGCAAATGGACGGAACTAGAAAATATCATCCTGAGTGAGGTAACCCAAACCCAGAAGGACAAACATGGTATGTACTCACTCATAAGTGGATACTAGATATAAAGCAAAGGACAATCAGACTGTAGCTCACAACTCCAGGGAGGCTACATAGCAGGGGGGACCCTAGGATGACTGTGGCTTATAATAAGTTTTGGTTTTGCTCAATCACTGGGCAAGCCTCAGTGAAACATTTCACTATTAGGATAAGAATTTGTACTGCATCAAGCTGATAATAAAAAAATAAAAATAAAAAACAACAAAATAAATAAATGTCTGTATAGTTTGAATTTTTTTTATAGAATAAATGCTTCTGAGGCTGGGAATATAATCACTTGGTAGAATGCTTACGAATTTCAAACCCAGACATCAAGTAAACTGGGCATGGTAGCGCACCCCTGTAATAGTAGCACTTGGGAGGTGGAGGCTGGGGGGATCAGCTCAAGGTCATCTTCAGCCACATATGCAGATTGAGGGCAACCTGGGCTACATGTCCCCAAAAATTACATTTCAAGTAATGAGGACTGTGGGCCAGGCAGTGTGGTGGCACACGCTCTTAGTTCCAGCACTGGGGAGGCACAGGCAGCTAATCTCTGAGTTCAAGGCCAGTTTAGTCTACTTAGCAAGTTTGATGACAGCCAGAGCTACATAATAGGGAGACCCTGTCTCAGAAAACCCAAAAGAAGAAAATACAATAATAATAATAATAATAATAATAATAATAATAATAATAAAAACCCCTCCCAGGTGGTAATGGCACACACCTTGGAGCCTAGCACTCGGGAGGTAGAGCCAGGCAGATCTCTGTGAGTTTGAGGCCAGCCTGGTCTACAGAGAGAGATCCAGGACAGGCATCAAGACTACACAGAGAAACCCTGTCGCGGAAAACCAAACCAAACCAAAACCCAAAAAACCTGCTTTTGGGGGGCTGAAGCGATGGCTCAGAATTTAAAAGCATTTGCTGCTCTTGGTTCAGTTCTCAGTACCCACATGGTGGCTCACAACTCTAGTTTCAGGAATCTGAGGCCCTCCTAGGGCTTTCTTGGGCACCAGGCCGGAACTTAACGCACATCTATACATGCATGAAAAACCCTCATACACGTTAAAAAAAAAATCTAAAAATGATACAACCAATCATCTCAGGGGTGGAGGATGTGAGGGGTTGTTCCGGCACTGTTTCTGTAGCCCAAGCTGTTCCTTGGCCCTGGAGCTTTCAGGACCGGCATCCCTTACTTCTGGCCTGTGTGAAGTGACAGAGTAGAAGCAGGATTTCGCCCATGAAACTTTGCTGGAGATATTTTCCTAATCTTAGTAGGTTCAGTGAAGCAGAGAGATCTGTGGTGACTGGGATGCGTGTCCACGGTAACACTGAATAAGGTTCGGACACAGAGGAAACACATTTCAATCCCACTGTTGTGCCCTGGTCTCCAGGACCCCTGAAAGACCACTATGGAGACCGAACCCCAAAAGTAAAAGCAAAGACCCTTTATTTCAAGCTCAGGATTGGCTGACACTTGAGGGTGTAGGTGGGTGCTGTGCTGGGAACGTTTGGAATGTCAGTTCCCCCTTAGATGCAGGCCCTCCCTGGGTGGGGTCAGCTCATGGCCTTTTCTGGATCCCGGAGCTGCCTGCCAGCAAGCCTGTCCCAGATGCTGTGTCTGGGTCTCCAGGCCTGTCATGGCGGCTGTGTGGTCAAGCTACCCTGGGTCCTGCAGATCCACCATCTGACATATTTAAGTAGGACAAACCCCCTTTTGTTTGTTTTTAGAGTCAGGGTTTCTCTGTGTGGCCGTGGTTGTCCTGGTGTTATGCCCAGATCTCGGGGACCCCCAAAAGACCACCATGGAGACCGAATCCCACATGTAAAAGCAAAGAGCCTTTATTTCAAGTTCCAGAGCTTGGTCCCTCTATCCAACACAGCGGTGAGAGCAGAGAACCCTGAGCTCAGGTCGGGCAGAGTTTTTATCACAGCAGAGGTTGGGGTGAGGGGATTTCCAGGGTCCACGACCCTGATTGGCTGACAATTGTCTAGGGTTATCTGTAAAACAAGCAAACAACAACAAAAAAAAAAATTGGTGAGTGCTAGACTCAAGGACATCTGCCACCTTATCCAATGGCTGGAATGTTTGGAGTGTCAGGTACTTCCTCACCCCTGGGTGGATCTCTGGGTGGCATCAGCTTAAGGCTTTTCCTGGATCTGGGTGTTGCCTGCCAGTAAGCCTGTCCCAGAAGCTTTGTCTAGGCCCCTAAGCCTGTCATGGCTGCTGTGTGGTCAAGCTATTTTGGGGCTCCCCTTCACGCTGGAACTGACCCTGTAGACCAGATTAGCTTCAAACTCAGAGATCTGGCCGCCTCTGCTGTGCTGGGATTAAGGCAGGAGCCACCACTGCTCCGCTAATTCCCCCCCCACTTCTTTTTTTTGAGGATGTCTCCCTAGTCTGGGCGGGCATGGAACAGGCTACATAGGTGAGGGCAGGCCTTGAACTCATGGAGATACACACCTGCTTCTGCCTCTGAGTGTTGGGTTTAAAGGCACCTGCCACCACGCCCTGCTTTTCCAGGTATTTTTTCTGCTGGCATCTAGACATGCATGGCTTCATCAAGTGCGGGTCAAGACACGCAGGTCCGGTGTGGGCACACCCCTTCGAGGGACTAGATAGCCACAAAGGGGATCAGTGTTAACCAAGGCCTGTGTGTGTGTGTGTGTGTGTTGGGGTCGGGGGTGGGTGGTGGGTGGGGGAAGAGGTCTCCTTCCTGGACGACCACGCTGCCAGTTTCCAGAAACCACGGGCAGGCAGCTCGCGCGGGCTCTGGGCTCCGCCAGCCCCCAGGGTCTGAACAAGGCGGGCACAGCGGCAGAGAGGCAGGCGTGGGCTGGAAGGTGCAGCGCGGAGCCAGCGCACGCGCAGCGGGGTCATCCCCCAGTCCAGCGCTCCCGACAGGGCACCGCCAAAGGCTTGGGACTCGGCGGGAGCAGCAGCAGGCGTAGCTTCCGCCCCGCAAGCCACGATCGGACTCCATCGCCCACCCGGACTCCCTCAGGGAAAGCCCCACAGCGCCGCCCGGCTACCGCAGCCGGCCGGAAGCATGGGGGCGGGCCCCCGCCGGGCCCCGCCCCTCCTCGGGGCCAATCGGCGCGCGCGGCTCATGAATA